TCTAATAGTGTTCATAGGCGCTTTCCTGAGAAATCTCTGAGGCCTCGGCGGCACCAACACCCTGGGTGTGCCTGCACAGCCTGCTGTGCACCTGCACAAGTTACGGGAGTATCAAGAGGAGATTCCTGACCTGGCTCCACATCTGCTAGTGTAATGCTTCAGCTACACCAGGCACAGCTGGACTAATAGCACAAATAAGTCTTTCTCCCATTGAACTTCCCAGGCCAAAGCTGGGCTGTGTGCTACAGGAATACCCACTCCAACCCATTTCCTTCTATACTAGCTGTTTCTTTCCTGGTTTTGCTGCACGTATTCTAATAAAACCTTTGTTGCAATACTAGGAAAAGTCCATTTTTGTGAACTTCCACCAGATCTCTAAAATCTTCAAACCAGGAGCTTAAAATGGTGTGATTAAATTAAAACAATATACAGTCTTTAAGGAAAAGCCCTGGGTCTTCTTTGATTCTAAGCCTTTGGGCTTTAAAAATTTTCCCCATAAGTAGAAAGATTGCGCAGACTAGAGCCTTACTTTAAATTTCAACAAAAGTCACATAGTATTGCAACTATAAGAAAAAAACAGCAAACACCAAAATTTGTGTGATGAGATGAGAGTTTACCATGTGTGTGCAAAAACAGTGAGGCATAAGATTCTGGGGTCTCTGGAGTGCTAAGTCATCCAAACAGCACAACAGCTTTAACAAGAGGGCCCCACAGATAGTATTCTCATATAAGCTATGTAGTTCATGCAGTATGTACCAGAATATTTAAAAATATTCAAAAAAGGATTCTCAGGAGTGGAAGGGAAATCCATGGAGCATTCAGCAGCATTTTGAACACAAGATTCTCAATACCCTTTGGCAGTAAGGCACTGCCTCACCTCCTCCTCCACTAGCTGCCAAACCACACAGGGATGGGGAATGAGTGGGAAAGGGTCACCAGCAGTTTTTCCAAGAATGGAGGTAACTATAACTAGAGCTTACCCCATGCTGAGTAGCTACATGTCAGTTACATATGAAGCAAAGCTAAGGTTTTCTATTCTTATTTTATTTCAAAAGAATAAGTTTTTTAAAAATCTGGACATTTCTTCATTTCATTTAAAAAACATGCCTTGCTACATCTACAACAGTAGCATTGTGTGGCCCTGCTTAGTGTTTAAGCTGTATAAAGAAATGGAAAATGATCCCTAGAACAGATTTTTCAGGCTACTTTCAACATTACCTATTTTCACATTAGGCTCAATTAATACAGATATGACTATATCAGACTGAGGTGGGCTTTTGTTCAAGATATGCTGTTACAATTCCTGACCAGCAACAGGAAACAACTTTCAAGTCTACCATTTAAAACGATCTCCTACTCAAACATTTTTGTGTTTTTTGAGTTCCAAAGTGAAATGGACTTTTATGCTTCCCCTTTGTCCTGGTGCAATAGAAGTTTCTCCTCTCCAAGAAAGCAAGTTTACTGTGACAGGGCAAACAAGGAACAGTACCAAGATCCCAAAAACCTTTAAGCGTTGGAGGGACAACTGAAAGGCTTTGGTTCAGTTGTGACTTCTAGTTCCCGCACTGTGCTATCACCCTTGGAGAGACTGTTGAAATTCTACAGCCCAGTCACAAGAGAGAAGTTTTATTCAGAACGGCAGGTTTATTCATGGAGTAGTCAGGCCAAAGCTGAGGTCAGAGTCCCAGAAGCTTTCTTCATGTAGAAACTAGCATAGATAGAAGCAAGGTTGAGTACAACGCCCCTTTACATGCTAGAGCTTCACAGAAACATCAGGAAGACAAGAGACATGTTCTCTCTCAGTTCTTAGGCCCCATCAGCACTGGCACATACTTCTCCCTTAGCTGGAGGTTGCACACTCTAACATTGTCCTTGGAGGACACAAGAGGCTAGTACACTTTAGACTGCAATGGCCCAAAAATGCAGTGTTTCTTATGACAAAGATCCAAAATGGCAGCAAAAGCCAACTCATGTACGTATCCTAACGTGCTCCGCAAATTATTCTTTTTGTGCAAAGAATCTTACCATTACTTCACATTCTCTAAATGAAATATTTTCATCACAAATAGGTACTAGTAAGAAGGAAGATGATGCTAAATTAGCAAGGATTGGAGGCCATCTGAGACAAAAAATGAATGATAGCCCTGAACAGAAAGGTAAATTTGGTACTTGTCATTAGAAGTGAAATCAATTAAATTCAGTTTCTGTGTCAGAATCACCATGAGAAATTAATTATTCATATCTGTATCATCTAATATTTATAAGCCCACCAGCAGAGCACTTTGGACAGTTTTCAATATTTGTTCCTTTAAAACATTCACCTACTGTCTCATGGGAATCCTGACATATAAGTTCTCTTGCAGCGAAATCATGACAAATGACAGTTCACAGAAGCCCCTTTAGCTGGCTTGGAAACCTATCAGCTATAGATCATGAAACTTAACAGTCAAGTATTGAAACAACTGGTAAGTCTCCTGGCTTTTCAAAAGATTGAGAGTCAATATGGCCTTCAGACACTTCTCTGACGCTCAATGCTGGCTTTAGGCTAGTCAAGTGATCACTGTTGGACTAGAAGTGCCCGAGAACAGAAAAATTACGAGCTCCCAGTATTCCACTACTGATGTTCCTCACATAACTACAACCAAAAGTTCCCATGGATGCTTTGACATTTCCTCCAGACTACAGCATTTAAGTTAATTAGGTTTTTTTCCTGATGATGGATGAGTTTTATATCTGAGCTTCATATGAGTATTGCTTTGCTTGTTAGGGAATTTAGAGTGAAATACTGTAGCACATTATTCAAATTTCAAAAGAATATTCTCTACTCTTCTACTTCAAACTTCAGCTTCACATTAGCAAATGTCCGTGGCTGTGTAATAATTTCTTACTTACTGACCATGAAAGCATCATGTGTAACACAAGTTCAAAAAGAACAGGCAAAGCTGGTAGTCACGACTCCATATGTCACTTAAAATTAGAAAAAGTAATTAGAAAAAGAATTCATGAGCCTGGCAAAAATGACTTTCATATTGTAAAGATTGCACCCTCTTGATTAGTTTGACAATTGCTGCCTTCTACTTCGTATTGTATAATACACATGTATGTGGATTCATACACTTCTAATCCCAACTTTACAAAAATGCGAACAGACACAAAGATGGAAACCAAAATTAATGAGATCCACGTTTTGAAAACAAGTTGTGGATTTTCTTGTTAAAAGGTCAAGCATTTAACAACTGACTTGGATTTGCTGCTTGAACTGTCAGCAGATGAAATAACTCAAAATCCAGAACAAAACTGACTTATATACATGATATTAATCTAATTATGCTATAGTCCAAACTAAACCAGGCATTTTTGTCTTGATGAATACAGTTTAAAAATAAACAGCCTAAACATGAGAACTCTGCTGGGCCAAGCATACCCAAGAATTCACACCATCAGCTAGAAACTAACAAAGTTCTACTTAAAATGCTGTGATTTACATTAGGGATTTTGAGTAAATTTAATTAGTTTCCTACATTTCAGCAGAGTCTATTAAGAGCAAATGAATTCTCTCAGCATAAAACAGTGAAACAATGAAGAACAAATGAGTTGAACCATCTTCATAAACTAATACATGCTAAAATATGTGCTAATCCCAATCTGCACTCCAGTTAGATATTACCATATGAGTACATTCAGCACTTTTAATTTAAACTGCCTGCAGTTAAAAAAGGGCAGCAAATCAAGACCACTGTCATCATTCACATTTGCTACTGCAGCATCACATCTGTAAAGAAAAAGTGGCAGAGCTGCCCCAAACAATGTTCTCTGAGTCTTCTAAAATGCTACTCTTAATCCTTTTACATGATTCAGTTACTGTGTGACACCAATTGAACATATGCAGTCTTCACGTTCGTGAGAAAACAGGAGATGAATGTCTTCTTACCAATTTACAGAGTCCAACAACTTAATAAGCTTTTCATTTACCTTTAAAATAAAATACAATCATGTGGAATTACTAATAGTTGCTTCTCTAAAGAACAGAAAGTTAATGTGAATATGCTTGAAATATTCATTCAGAAGTTCACTCCATAATTTGAAATTCAGATCTCTCACTTGATTGGATTGGAAGTGCTGAAGAATTAGCTTATTCTCTTGTTGTTTCATTACTTCCACAACACTTCCCAAGCCAATATTCTAATTATTGAAAAACATTAAAAGACAAAGATTATTTCAACTTCTACGTACAGAGTCAAGTGGGCTAAAAAGATTATGTTCTTCAAATGGCATATTTCTGCACAGAAAAATATTTCAGTTGTTGATAATGGATATTTTGCTTATTAGCTGCTATGCCCATTTAACAAGTTTTACTAACAAATTAATAAAGATAGCCATAAGATTTTTAAGCGAAACTTTATCTCGAGATTTTTTGAAATGGCTGAATATTGAACAGAAAGGATGTTCTGAAGCTAAATTTAGACCACCCTCGGATCAATTCAACAGCATGAAAAGAACAGAAACTAAAATCAGTAACCTTAAGTTCTCAGTCTAGAAGTGGAAATATTGATAATTTCCTGAAATGGAAGTAAAATTCAATAAGGAAGCCTGAAAGTTGCCTGCAAAACAGAACTATCCACCTCCAGTTGGCTGTATAATTAATTGCCTATCTCAGAAAATTACTTGGATAGACCCTTCTCATTCAAGGATACACCCTTCTAAAAATGTCACTAAATCACGTATTTTTCTGGGAATGCAATCACATTTGAAACCAAATCAAGAGTTAAAAAGATATTTTGTAGTACAGTGTAGAAGTATTATCCCCATCTTACATACAAATGCATGCAAATGAATTAAACAACATTTTCATGGTAATTCAGCAAGTTTGTGATAGACATCTATATCCATGTTTCAACATATGTGCTGTAGTCTGTGAGCTCCACTTCTTCACTACAGAATCATCTCCTTTGAAAGAGATTACATTTCCAGAGAAGGAAAATCTAAGAAATCTCTCTTACCTGGCAAAAAATGATGCTGCGACCGAGGTGCCTGTGGATACTTCACTGGCAACGTATGTGCTCTGGGAAGCAGGGAAGCTGTACAAGGAAGGTTTATCTGCGTTGTAGCGGTTCAATGCTGCTTCAGTCAGGCCCTCTCGATTAGTCTCTGTCATAAGCTGCGATATCTGAAGACAGAAAAAAACAAAAGTGTCATCAGCTAAAGCCCACTAGCTGACCGCTCCTCATCCAGAAGTGCCTCTGGGTTGCAGATGGACTAAGAGAGGTATTTCATTCACTATGTCTTTACTGCTCTGTGAAAAATTTTATTGCTCTGTCATGATAATCTACAGTACTCTGGCTCAGCTCTAACCTTGTCTGCATTAAAACTAATAGGATAAATCCATCCCGTCACTAGAAATGTCAATAATGCCTATGGCTTTCTGTCCATATGGAAAAGAAAGTAAACTATAATCCTTGCTTGGTTTTGCCTCAGGATACAAGACAGACAACTTAGATGTGTAAGATATTTATATTTTACTTCAGGAAAAAAAAAAATACATTTGTTTGCCTTTGTAAAATAAGTGTATTAAGCACTAGTGTTTTAAGCACTTTTGTTGACCTTTCTCCAGAAAAGCCAACAAACGGGATAGGAAGGAGTCCCTTGGGATCCTAGACTATTTATCATCTCTGTAAAATTAGGATCATTACCACTCACTTTCATTGGCTTTCTTAAAAGGTTTAAACATCCCATAGTTTCATTCTTCTGATGGCCCATTTAACATTTTTTTCCCCTGTTAGGAAGCATCATCTCAGCTTTTCATTGCCTGGGAAAAGAAATGGAGTTCAACCAGACCTGACCCAGCTCTCCTCAAATTAAGTTAAAGATCTTTATCAACTTAAAAGAACACTGGGTCAGCCCTATTGAAGTACCTTCTCAAAATTTATTTCAGCTTCTTAACTATTACTTCTGCATGAATTTACAATACTACGATGTCATCTATTGTACTATATGCAATTCCTACCACAACTTCCCTTTCCTCCTCTGCTCATTTCAACCACAAATAATTTTTGTTCTCTAATGCGCATCACAAAACTGCAACATATGCCTAAAAAGAACCCTCCCAAACTATGAGTAGTGATCATCCAAGGCATTGCTTCCTTCCCCCTGCAAAAAGTTTGCAAGAATCAGTCTCTCACCTGTTCAATTTCAGTTCTCATGCCTACCTTTACCACCACAGTACCAGAACATCTTTGTGAGGCATATCAAGAAAAGTATTTGTGATTATCCTGTAGTTAATTTTCTGCTCAGACAATCTTTGAGTAGTTAAACATTTCAGTTATTAAAGGCAAAGTTGAAGAACTGTGATTTGTATTTGGGAGGGGAAAAGACATGTGATATGGCAACATTTTTTACACTGCCAATCCACCTCTGTTTCTGTTATAGAGAATTGTTACCATTCTACTGCAGCTAGGAAGATAATCTAAGAGTTTATCCTTATTTTACATAAATTTTAGGCCAATCAGCTGTAGCACTTCAAGAACAAGAATGCTAAACTAGCCACTATATTTTACGAGGAACCAGTAAACTTGCTGAAAATACCCCTATCGTCAGTCATACACTGAGCCTTTCTAATTTACTGATTCACTATATTGAATGAGCAGTGCTCTCAGAAGGCTATAGCTGAAATCCTGGATTTAAATAATCTCATGCTACTGTTAAACATATGAATTTAGGCTTGCTGCCAGAATACCTCCCTACATTTCCAGCGAGCAAGCAAATAGACTTTTGTTCTTCAGTGTTTTGCTAACCTATGTCCACTGGGACATCCAATACACTTGAATTCACTAAACAATAATTTTCTCAAATGTTCCATAAATTTTGCTAACTCAGCTATTTATATTTGCAGCACAAGATTTTGCCCTATCCCCTCAAATTGTCCTGAAACCAATTTTATCCCCTACCATGTCTGAAACTGCTAAGCACATAGATTTAAAAGCTTTCCCTTCAGAGCAGAGAACACTTATAAACCTAACCTCTTAGTCTATCCAATTCATATACCTGTAATCAGGGATGGACCATCATTAATCAATTGCCATTGCTCACTGTCAGCAGGAAGTGCTACTCACTTCCACAGCAACCTGACAGCATCTAAGCTGACAAGTTAACTTATCTCAACTGCAATCATTATCTCCCCATCTTCTGCCAAATAAAGATTTGCAGCTCCAAATATGAATTACCATAGCCAGTACGGCACATTTCTGTTGGTGTCATCTGCAAGTTGTAAAGTTGCAAAATAGTGAGGCTTGAGAGAAGCATTTCAGCCAGCTGCAAAACAGGAAGAGTTTGCATGTCTGTATGTTTGGGACACCCAGAAAACGTCCATCATGATGTGGGCTCAAAAGCAGTAACTAAATGGTTTCTGTGATTATAAAGACTTTCAGGTGATTCATGCCCATATCCACAGGTCCTATTAATGTGAACAGCACAGAGAAAACAGAGCAATAAAAAGCCTCAAACTGACTGTGGACATTTCCTAAAAGGTATTATTCTCAAGCTTCCTCAACAGCTGATTAGATGCTTGGTTCATGAGCTTTTGAATAAGTAGTTCTTAAATAAAAGCACTCCAAAATAATCAAATACTCACCAGAGAGACATGAGATTCTTTTAGAAAGATATAAATATAAGCCATTCCCTCTCACCTATGTACTCAGAGAGAAATAGATATTAGTCAAGAAATGGAATGTTAATGCTTTTTAATAAAGGAGGATGAAGATCCTATAAAGTCTGTATTTAGGTCATGGCTTTCTTATAGTAAAATCCAAAGGAACTTAATCAGAAGCTGGAAATAATCAAACATATATACAAATTCAGCATTTGTGGAGAACTGCACTAACCATAGGACAGAGACAGAAGAGAGATAAATAATAATAATTTTGGGAATTGCATATACTATGGACAAATGCAGAATGGGGTTGTTTCTACATAAATGTAGGTTTTCAGTAGTACTGCTATTTTATCATGTGTCCTCCACAACAGTGGAAGTACTACAGGGATAGTCAGCTGCTCAAGTTGCAAAACATCTGTATGGTACTGACCACCAGAGCTTGCTAGAGAGGTAGCAGCTCTCCCTGTTCATTCACACAACTTGCTTTGTTGCGGAAAACAGGAAGCTACTGTTAACATTGACATATTATCTGTGAAAAGCAGCATTCCAGTGTAAACAGCCATGTTAGAGAACCCTCCCAGAGCTGCCCAGGATAGACACTCATAATGGGGTGTGTTGGGCTTGTTGAGCACCTTCTCAGTCCTAAGGGTCCAGCACCACTGCCTGGTTTCCCCACTCATGCCAGCCCACTTCCTGGGCAAAAATCCATTTCTCAGCATGAGCTCTCTCAGAACTAAACTCCCAAATGCCCATGTCCTTGAGCTCCATTGATTTACTCTTTGCCTCAGCAGAGACACTTCTTAGTTGGTAGTGTATTACAAGGATACTGAAATGGGAACATACTTTGTTTTACTTAAATGCAAGACATGGACAGATTAAGACAAAATAAGAACTGGCCTAAGCCACAGTCCAGTATTTCCTAATCTAACAGTTTCCAGTTTTAGCACTTGCTTACTTTGTCTGCCAAAGTGGGATTTTTCAACAACAAAATGTCTCCAGAAGCAATGAAAGCTGAAATATTTGCCTGAATTTCAAACATTTTACTGTTCCTTATCTGGGAAGCCTGCAACACCACTTGATGTTATACAGTTCAAAGCCCACAAAAGTACCTTGTAATACTGCAACACTCAAAACCTCAATCAGAACTAGTTCAAGCAAAACCTGATCTTCTGCTTGAGGTTTCCTTAATAAGAGGACAACCAACTAGAACTTTAAGTACAGAATTTTCCCTTTGGTCATACAGACAGTACAGATGAAGGGCAAAGACATTGCTATGAGAAATTCTGGGCCAGGCTGGGAGTCTTTTTTGTGTCTGATACTTATCAGAGTACTGTTTACACTCGACAAATTTGTACATCTGGGGCAATCCATGTGCTGAGTACCTGACTAGACACATGCAAACAATATTGGACTAATCAGTCCTCAGTTATTCCCAGAGTTCAATACATATACATAAAGTAGTGGGCAGAAAGAAATACAGATAATTTATATATCCAGAGGCTACTGACTTCGAGTCACCATTTCCTTGTTTTCCCTCACAGATTGGAGGGTGTAGAATTAATCTAAACTATTATCATAGAATGGTTAGAGTTGGAAGGAACCTTAAAGATCATCTAGTTCCAACCTCCCCGCCGTGGGCAGGGACACCTCCCACTAGAGCAGGTTGCTCAAAGCCCCATCCAGCCTGGCCTTGAACGCTACCAGGGATGTGGCATCCACAGCTTTTCTGGGCAACCTGTTCTAGTGCCTCACCACCCTCACAGTAAAGAATTTCTTTCTGGTATCTAATCTAAGTCTACCCTCTTCCTATTTAAAAACATTACCCCTTGTCCTGTCCCTACGCTTCCTGATAAAGAGTCCCTCCCCAGCTCTCTTCAGATACTGGAAGGCTGCTATAAGGTCTACCTGGAGTCTTCTCCAGGCTGAACAACCCCAGGTCTCTCAGCCTGTCCTCATAGGAGAGGCACTCCATCCCTCTGATCATCTTCATGGCCCTAATATACCAAACTGAAGAGTGGGCTTTGGAGGTAATCTTTCCATCTCATTCACTTTGTCCTCTAGTCACAGTACCAAATTATCCCTGTCTCCTCTGACATCGCTCGCTGAAGTTCACACATAAACAAACTTGAGTGAATGCATCCAGGATATATCAAGCATTTAAGGAAAAATACTCATAGAACAGACATTTCCAAAGCTCTTAGAGAAATTATTTTTTCCCCATCCCAGTTCAAAAGGTGTAGTTGAAAAATCACACTTTGAACATGAACATTAACAAACTCAGTCTCTTTTTCTTGCCTTCCTGCCCCCCCAATAATGTACACTTGGCAATTACAGTTCACATAAGTCTGTCTCTTCGGTGTCACTGTTTCTCTCACCAGATATCATTTCGGGATTTAATGGGGAAAAGAAGAATAGATTCCTTGATTCTCTTTCCCTTCTCTTTTGTGAGTACCCATATAGCATATATATGAGGTTTAAGATTAGTTAATAGGATATATTTTGATAAAATCCTTTATTGA